CCCCAAAACCCCAAAACCCCAAAACCCCATTTTCAATCGATCGATTATATTACTGAGAAGAATAAATAAATTAATTTGATTCATTTTCTAGCTACTTCCTTGACTTGCTTGACAATATCTTGGAAAATTCTAGCAGACTTTGTATCTGGATGCTCACTAGCAAAGCATTTTCCTCCTTCGCAAGATAATAGAATCTTAGGCTCAAGTGGCAATTATGCAAGCAGCTTTATATTCATATCTTGACACATCTTACTTGCTCCACCTGTGATTGGTGGGAATATTTAGCTCTCACAATCGCAATTTGGGCAGACAAATCCACTCATATTCTCAACGACGCCAATGACTGGTAACTCAGTTTTCTTGCAGAAATTTATTTCTTTTCTCACATCACTTAAACTAACCTCTTAAGGAGTTGTTACTATTATAGACCCTAAAACCTTCGTTTTCTTGAGGTATTAAACAACACTTATATGCTCATCAGAAGTGCCTGGAGGTGTATCGATGATAAGATAATCCAAATCTTCCCAAATGACGTCTGTCAAAAATTGCTTAATCAAACCATTTTTTCTTGGACCTCTCCAGATGATAGCATCATCTTTTGAAGGTAGTAAGAATCCAATACTCATTACTGCGAGATTATCTTCGAAGTAGACTGGAGACCAACCTTGATTACTTTGGTGAACTTCTTAGCCCTCTAATCCAAGCATTCTGGGAACACTTGGTCCACAAATGTCTATGTCTAATAGTCCGACCTAAATTTTCTCATCTTAAGCAAGTGTGAGTGCAAGTTGAGTTGAAATAGTTGATTTTCCTACACCTCCCTTACCAGATAAAACTAGTATGACATTCTTGACTTAATTTAATTTTTCAGCTATTTCTTCAAGAGCTATATAAGTACAAAGAGTTAATTAGTGAATTGAAAAGAAATAATTACCAGGATCCTCTTTTTATGCTTCTCCAGTAGAGCAAATTGTTTGATTAGGACAACCAGCACAAGCCTCAGACTTTCCAGCACTCTGAGTTCCTACTCCAGGACAATTCTCATTGGCATCTAAAATCTTGAATATAATCTGATTACTTTCTGGAATGTTCTCCTGCTTTGTTGATGCTTAGTTTTCTTATTCCATATTAAGATTAAATTATACTGAAATTGTAATATTCTTTATCTAGATATATCACTGATATTACAATAAAGGGGTTTTGGGGTTTTGGGGTTTTGGGGTTTTGGGGTTTTGGGG